GTACCAATAAAAGAATTTAATTAAAAAACAAAACAAAACCTAACCATAGTGTTGTACACCTTAAATATATATAATTTTTTAAAAAGGGAAACTCCCACTGAAAAAGTGGAATTTCATAAGAAGTCTTTTGTCTTTGTGGAGTTGAACCACTATGAGAGTATATATGGATGTGGTGCTAGTCTTTGAGAAGGGCAAGGTACTCTCGCTGTGTCGTTAGTCTTTTGGTTTGATGGTATGGGTGCCCTCATTGACATGGCCAGTTCTATGACTGTGCCCAGGCAGTCTACCTCCTGGCTTTTGTTGTTATTGCTGTTGTTTTTAATGGCCTAGTCTAGGCTGTTTGGGAAAAGTTGTGTTGATGTTAGGATTCAGCCCTTGCCTAGATAGAGGTGACCCCTGGTGTTATTAGCATGGAGATGAGTATCAGGATCACATCCAGCCACCTTGGGGACCCCAGGAGACTACATTCAGAGGTGTGAGGACTGGAGGCCAGCCCAGTACTGTCTGAGACATCAAAGCTCTCCCTTCTCCATCCTTACCACACCTGGCTAGCAAGCAGGGGCAGGGCTCTCCTATATCCTAGGACAATGTGGAAGTCCCAGTGTGGGGACAGGAGTTCCCTCGCTTCACTGCAGCTCAGCACCCACTCATGTCACTGAGATGGGGACTGAGGACCCTCCCACCCCACCCGAACTCTGAGAGTGAAAGGAGCCAGATTTCCACCCGAGGCTGAAAAGCCTCCCAGCTCAGCCGCCATCCCCGCCACCCAGGGCCTAGGGAGAGAGGGCTATGTGGGCAGATAGGATCTCAGCCACCAGATAGAACAGATAGAGACAGCACTGCAGCCGCTTCAATTCAAGAGCAATTTAAGATATCACACTAATTATGGGGTCTGCAGGCACCATTTGATTTAGATGTACTAGTTAACAAAAATCAGATGGTTGAGAATCAGAATTTCATGTAAATAAAAATTTGACCCTACAACATGTAATTGAATGGTTACAGTGATTTTTTTTAAGTGGAGGAGGGCAGGGGATATTTCCTGTCATCAGATACAGGTACTTTGTGTCTGATAGGTGAGAGGGTGGGGAGGAGTACTAACTTTTTATTTACTTAAAATCACTGTAATTTGCAAGAAGGTTGAATGACTCCTACATTTTTGTTAAAAAAAAAAAAAAAAGAAAGAAAGGGGAAAAAAGCTACTCTGAAATGCATGGCTTCATTTAATCACATCACTAGGGAACTAATACCAAGACCACCCAGGCCCAGCACTGGTTTTTCCTAAAGAAGTTGCCTCATGTCTGTCTTTGAAGGCAGAGTTCCACCTTGTAATTAGGGGCTTCCTCTGTTTCTTTAATGATACCAAAGCACAGGGCCCAGGGTGTCATCCAAGGGAAATCACCTTTTAGGTAAGCACATAGCCGTCCTGGGGCACAGATGCAGGAAGACCACCCTGGGTCACAGGCCAAGCAGCTGTCCTGTGAGAGGCAGGGGGCAGGTGAGCCAGCTGGGCGGATAGCAGGTTGGGGTCACCTGCGTAGGAGTCCTTCAAAGCTCACAAAAGCTGTTTCAGCAGAGGTCTCAAAGGTCTTTATAGGAGGCAACAAAAACTATTTTGCAAATGAGAACCATGAGTATTTGAAAAGTCTAAGTGTCCCTTCTTCTCCCTAGGTGGCCATTAGAGCCTGAGGCTGGCGCCTGTGGGAAGGCACAATGAGCCACCAGGTCCCTAAGGTACCATGTTGAATTTCTCAACCTAACTTTGTTTAGTTTGGGGAGAACATTTTTTTTTTTTTGGTTCTAAAAAAAAAACCCCAAACCAACTCCCTGTGGTTTCTTTTCGACTCCCACCCTCTGTAATCGCCACTTGCAAGAGTTTCACCATTTTCCCGTAAAACCAAAAAAATGAGGATGCTGGTTAGACATGCTTTGTTTCTCTTCCCCATCTCTTTCTGCTCACTGTTCCCACACATCCCTCATACTGGGCTCACCGTTTTCTCCTCATCAGACTTCCTCTTTCAGAATCCAGCTCAATACCATCTTAATAAATGACCCCAGTGCAAAGGGGGAGGCCAGCCTGGGTCCTTCCACCTGCACTGTGCCAGGAACATGCCTGGCCACACCTGGGCACAGGCTCTGGCTCTGGCTGCCCCCTCCCTGCAGTGCCCTGATTGTCCTTCTCTAGGCTTCTCCTCTGTGGCACTCATAAGCCATCACCCATCAGCCATCCCTGTGGTCCTTGCATTGCAAGCTCTTCTTTTGTGCTTGCCCTTTTTCCTCATACACCCAGTGAGGAGTGAGACACCCCAGCTTTGGATCTCAGCCAACACACTGGGAGGATTCTTCTAGTCTTCTGGGGGGTCACAATTTTGTCTTTTCCCCACTGTTTCACTTACATTTGGCCCTCATGTGCTGTCCATGACCCATCCTGTTCCTCCTACACCTTTCAGCAGGGTGGTGTCAGGAAAGAGTAGCTTGTGAGTCAGAGTTCTGGGTTCCCTTCAGTGGCTGTGCCACTTACTCACTGTGTCAGTGTGGACAAGTCACCTTCCCTTCCCACTCCACCTCCTCCAGCCGCACCACGTGCTCAATACACCCGGTAAGAACATGATCAGAGAGCATGTGATGGCCTCTGTACACAGGGTGACTGTGCAATTTGTTGTCCAGCTTTCACTTTCGAGAGCCACAGGGGTGTTTTCATAATTAAGTTGGGGAGGGCTTAAGCAGACTTGTCCCTTGGCAAGCCTGGGATATGCAGTCCCTGCCAGGTTCTGGATCCCAGATAAAAATGGAGAGAGGAAGGGCTTTCCTCAGCTTCTCCACCCAGCTTAGGAGAGTAATAGCAGCTTGCAAACAACCTGGACTAGTGCGTTGGCTCCAGAGAAGAGGTCAGGAGATTCGGAATCTCCATCATACATTTCCAACTTGCATGCAAAAATAATCAGGTAAGAGTCTGACTCTCCGAAATGCTCAGGGTGCTCAGAAATGGCAGGTGAAGTTAGACAAAGTGACCAAGAAGGCTGTTTTCTGCTCATTGTAAGCCCCAGCCTCAGACATTCTGCCGTGCCTGGCCTCTCTGCGATTTAAACCACTCTGACACCAAGCACTTGTCCATTTCTGGAATCTAAAATACTACCTGGCCAGGTCAGTTAGGCCCAGGGGAAGAGCAAACAGGAACCTAGCAAGGCTCTGGGGGGCGGGGGGTGTCTCAGCATCTCTGAGTGCTTGCATGAAAGGCCCATATCTGAGCCCGTGGCTTTCAGGACCCAGGGCTCAGTCCCTTCTCCTGGGGAGGTCTCTCCAGGCAAGAACAGAGGACCAGTGTGGAGCATGCCATCATGACCAAGGATCAGCAAAAGCAGAGGCAGAGTCACCCAATTTGGCACAGAAACAGGATACCAGGCAATAGGTAGGAATGTGCCCAAGGGAAGCTGTTGCTTCATTCTCTGCTTCTTTAGGCTCCCAGCCTCCTTGACAAAGGCCAAGCCAAACAGGGATCCCGGGGGAGGCCAGACTGGCCAGCCAATGCCAGCTCATGCAGGGTTAGGCTGGGGCTGGGTGGAGTCCTAAGGCCCCTGAGGATGCCAGGTGCTGAGCAGAAGCCAGGGACAGGCAGGTTTCTGCAGCTCCTAAATCCTAGTAGAAACATGCAGATTTCCCAGAAGCCATGGAGCAAGAGATGCCAGTCATTTTCAGAGCCAGGCTAATCTGGCCGGAACAACCTGGAATTGTGATGAAACTGGGCACCATAGGCCTTGCTGGGAAGTGAAGAGGGTTTTGGCTGCATGCTGGCTTCTAGTTGACAAGGCCACCTGGACCAGCTGACCCCGAGGCAGAGAGCTGACCTTTGCCCCCAGGCAGCCCCATGGACAAATCAGAGCGTGTGTTTCATAACGGGGCCAGGGGGTTGTTCCATTATAAAAAGAGAAATGATGAGGGAGAAGAACAAGAGATTGTTGTCAGAGTGTATTGATTTTCTTCTTAAACGTACACTGAATTGGAAGCACCCACAGGAACACACGGGGCGTTTTGATTGTCAGCCTTTTGGGTGGACAACATCTCTAATCTCTGCTCTACCCTGCATACCACTACCACTTGACAGCTGTGTAACAACACCTCCATCACAGTGGTGGCCTTTACAGGCTTTGTGACAATCATCAAGGCTTCCTTCTCATTAAACATGTGCAGGCTGCAGCACTTTGGACGGAGGTCAGGAAGGTCAATTCTAAGTGGAAAATATTTCTCCTTTCTCCAGGAACCTAAGCACAGTACCCAGAATTTGGGGGAACACAGGAGAGAGTGAGCAGTCAGTGATGAGAGGGGCCGGTGCTGGCCTATCCTCGGATTAGGGGACTCTAGTGAATGGACGTCTTCGAGTACGTATCCGAGGAGTGATTCCACTGTTACCTTTCTGACAAACAACTGAGTATGCCCTGTGCATTCATCCATAGCACACACTCCCACCTCAGTTCAGAGGTGGCCTGTCCAGTCACACTAATTTCTTGTCACCAGTCCCAATCCCAGAAGCTCAGTGGACAAATTGCTCCCAGGGGGTGACAAACAACTTGGATATTTCAAGAAGGTAAGAACTGATTTTTGAACCCAAGACCTCAGGTGTTAGGCAAGCGTTCTACCATTGAACTACATCTGAGTCCTAATACGTGGAATCTAAAAAAGATAACAAGGAAGTAGAAGGGAGACTACTGTTAGATAAGAGGAAAGGAAGAAGGGGAAGAAAGAGCGGCGTGGGTATAAGGACAGATGATAGAGGACATGGATATGATGAAAATACAGTATACACATTGAATACCCCCCTCAAAATATGTGAAGCTAGTGGGGGAAGATGAGGTAGTAAGTGTGGGGGAAAATGAATAAAGTATGTCCTATGGATTACAAATGTGCCAGAGGAAAGCCATTAACGTGATAACCAATGTGTACTAACAAATGTGGGGGGAAAAGGAAAGTAAAAGCGGGTGGTTCGGGGTGAGAGAGGTGGGTGTGTGGGAGGGTAGGCAGAGGAATAACCAACCCTGAGAAGCCTTACCCCAGTCTCGTTTTAAAAACTCAGGTTTTTTTTCTCGTAGTTGCCTTAGCTTTGAGGCTGTCTGGAGAGAATGGAGAGGCTGAACACGTGGGACACAGGAGGCTGGGCCAGCACTGGAGCACCGCAGATTCCCCGTGAGTAAGAGTGAATCACCAGCCCAGGCTTCCTCCTGGCCAGGCAGAGGCAATGGCCCAGTTTTGTAATTGCTGAAGGTGCTTGTTGTGGAGAGTCAGTTGCCTCGCCCTGATCTGCATACAATGGGCCACTGCCAGCCCAGAGACCCGGAAGCAGCCTTCCACAGTCACACCTCAGCTTCCCTGTCCCTACTCCAGGCAGTTCCATCCACTTCCTCAAAAAGCATCCTCGAATTTTCCTCAGCCAGCCCCTTCCTGTCCTGTCTTCAGGCTGGCAAGCGACACTGTTGACATCATGTCTGCCGAGGGAGGAGAGATTCCAAGAGGTGACTTGTGATGTCACCCTCATCCAAGACTGAAGGTGTTTGGTCTTTTGTCATCTGCTGTGCATTCCTCTGTGTCTTAACTGGAGCCAGAGTCCCTGAGGCACAGCCTAGGACAGGAAAGTCACTCTGAGATGGTTACAACATCTTTCTTTCATCAGTAAATCCAGAGGACTCAGAGGTAGTGTAAAACTATTGCTGTGGGATTTGTTCATTCATTCAGTGAGAAATTTTCCATTTTTTTGAAGCTAGCAAAAGGTGCAGGCTGGTGGCCTTGGTTAGTATCTGACTGACAAAAGACAGATTTGGATTAAAGCTTGTGGGATCCTTGAATGCTGATCCAAGTACTGCCATGGATAGTATCCAGAGGGGAACCATTGAAATGTTGCCAGAAGGGAAACAAACCCAATTTTCTCATTCTCACTACTTTCCTGTAGACAGTAACAGTTTGCCCATCGATCCAACAAACTCTGTTGTGCCCCTCCAAGAGCACAGGGATGCTGGCTGCAGGGTGCAGGATGGTGTCCCCAGGGCCTGTTCTGGTCCCTCAGTGAGCAATGGCAGAGCCTTGGGCCCGCCCCCAGGGTCCAGAAGGGAAATGGGAAGCAAAGGCAGAAGCCAGGAACAGGGACAGCTGGTTGGCTGACCTTCCTACCCAGGTCCAGCCCTCCCCCAAGGTGTGACCTGTGCGAGAAATGGATCCACAGCTGCAGTTTCAAAACCGGCCCTGCCCAAGCTGGTCACCTCCACTGCAGTAAGTGACCTACATTAATGCTACTGCTGGGGCAGGCAGGGGCATGAGTGCTGACAGGAGAGTTAAATTAGCCTGGGAGGTAGGCACCGGGGAAGTTAAGTAGAAAGTAAAACCCAAAGGATGGAGGTGCTTTGGGGACTGTGAGGGGGAGGTGGGCTGGGAAGAAAGGCAGCAGTCAGCCCAGCAGGGTGGCCTGCTTTGGGGGGCAGTGGGAATCAGGCAGGAAAGGCAGGTTTGAACTAGCCTATGGGTGTCCCTAAAGTTCAAGTAATTGCCCAGGTTGGATTCAGAGAAGATCCCAGTGTGTGCTGAGGAGGATCAAATACTAACTGAGAACCGCACAGATGTCGGAGACTGTGTTAGTGAAGGGGTTCATCATGGGTGTGGCTTGCCCCCCAGGGACAGTTTCTAGTTTGGGGGATGGGTCAGAAATGTGGTAGCAATATTTGCAGGCTCTTCATGTTGCTTAGGGAGGAGGCAAAAGACCTGACTGGGAGGGCAGGATTGGGGTGGGTAGGTGGGTGGGGCTGTACACCACCAGGGTTCTGCAATAATCTCTCAGTCACAGACCGAAGAGAGAGCCAGGGAAGGGATGAAGGACTAGGCAGGGACCTGAGGCAGGAGTGGAAGGGAAGATGGGAGAGTGGAGGAGCAGTCACTTGGATGGATGGACAGGGTCGGAGGAGACCAGGACGAAAGGCATCCATAGGAAAATGGGTGTGGCTTGGTACTGGGTGAGACAGCTGCACGGAATGGGAGGGGAAGAAAAAGGACAGACACGTGGGCTCTGGGGATGTGTGCGCTGCCTTGCTCTCAAATCCGGTTGTTTTCCTATAGCTGGGTTTTGCTTTTAAATAAATCGGTTATTCCTTCCTGTTATAGAAAGAGAAGAAAACTCTCCCCAGCCTCCCAAAGACCAATACTGCCAACACTTTGGAAATATTTCTGTCAGGTCATTTTTCCTGCATCAATTTCTGTTTGGTTTTCACATTGTTCTAATCATACTGTGTTTACAACTTTGTATCCTGTTGCATTTAACATCCAGGGTGTATCTGGATTTTTTTTCTGCATGTTAAATTTATCCTGGTTATTATAAATGTTCATTTTCCATATGTAGTTATGTAAAGAGTATCATTCCATTGTTTTTTTTCTTTCTTCACAGCAAACTTTGAAAATGTTGCTTCCTCCCCAATTCCTCCTCTCTCTCTTTCATCCTTCTTTCTCTCTTCCCTTTTCCCTTCCTGCTGCTTACTAGTCCCCCCTTACTGCCTTCTTCCATCTCTGGAGTCAGGAGCAGGGGCTCTTTCCTTGGTAAGAGACACAGACAGGACATCTATAAAGCCACAGGTCCAGGAGTCCTGGGGCACCTGCTTGGCAGAAGGAAAACATCTGATGATAAGTCTCCCAGCTGATTGGTAACTAACTCCACCCCTGGGCTGGATGTGAGGGTGTGGAGAGGCAGGTGAGGCTGGGGCAAGGTGTCTCAAGATGTTACCTAGGGTGTTTAAGAATATAGAGTCTCGGGCCTGGGATTTAGCTCAGTGGTGCCACTGCCTGCCTGGCAAGCGCAAGGTCCCGAGTTTGATCCCGGGTACCAAAACAAAACAAAACAAAACAAGAATATAGAGTCTTGGGTCGGGGATTTAGCTCAGTGCTGCTGCCTGCCTGGCAAGAACAAGGTTCCAAGTTCGATCCCTGGTACCCCCCCCAAAAAATAAATAAAAATAAAATAAATATAAGAATATAGAATCTCTGAAAAATGGAAATAAAACACATTCCATTTAGAGTGAAAGAGGGTCTGGTCTGTCAGTAAGCCCTGGCCCATCGTGGAAAGAGCGTTTCATTATCATAGAGTATTCACAGTAATGTTTCAAAAAACCTGTGAGTCCTTCTTTTGCTTGGTGTCATTAATGGGCAGGTGTACACAGTCCCCACCTCCGCCACCTACACACTGTCCTTCCTTCTTCTCTGTCTGTCTGTCTCTCTCTCTCCCAACCCAGTGAAATTTCCAAAGGCATCTTTGTTCAGTAATCATGACAATCTCCCTTGTCCCAAATGCTTCCCTGTCCCCAGCCCCTGTGCATATATTTCTCATCATGCCACAGGAGGTAGGGACTATCACGCCTAGAGCATGCCTTGCTTGTCCCCAGTCACTTGACCAGATCACACAAAGAAAAAGCAGGAGAGCCTGGATTGAAACTCAGGTGACTGACCCCCAAAGTCCTTTCCCTGAACCACCACACCCCACTGTGTTACATTTGTGCTTCACATTTTCAAATCAAGAATGCAGTGCTGGTGGAAATTAATTGCAGAGACACTCATGATGTTCAAAGCTCTTGCACTGTGAATGTAGATGATGTACCAAGGACTCTGCATTGTTGATGATTCAGATTTTGGGTGACTGCATGGAAGAACCTATCTTTCCCTAAGTTTTCAGGGAGCTGAGGTGGTTCAGCTGCTCTTATAGATGTTGAGGCTTTGACTCCATGACTAAGGGCCTCAGTGGGAAAGGACTGTGTGTTGCACTGGTCTAATCTAATTAGGACACTGCTGCCTGTCTCTGAGGACTGGAAGAGTCCACCCTCTCTCATCCAGTGCCTCTGTTCTGTCTCTTTATTGGCCTCAGAGCAGGGAGTATACCAAATAAAGCACCCCGCCAGGAAGAAGGGGTCACCAGTGTCAGGCTGAAGACCCCTCTGTGCAGCTGCCTGGAGACTCCTGCATGACCTTCCCTTGGGGAAGCAGCTGGGCCTGGCATGTACCCACCCACTAGCCACATGTTTCCTGCCCCAAATGTCATTTGACCATGATATAATGAGCTGTATAAAATTAAAAATGGCTAAATACCACCTTATTTACAGTAATTTTCTACTTTCTGAAGTCATCCCCAAACCTCTCCTTTACAACACCGACCTCCAGATCATGCCAATTGCAGTGAGAAGCCCATCATTACAACCACAGACCACGAGGAAACTAGCACAGGACCTGGAGCTTGCTGGCTCACTGGCTGCTGCTCTGGCCCCATCAGCCTGTTTTTCCATCACATGCTTTTTAGGCAGTAGGGAACTGGGCAGAGGGAACCCTCAGTTCTCTGCCCCCAAACTGGGGACCCTTAAGAATATCTCCAAGTAAGCAGCTGGGTTCAGAGGAACGTGTACATCCACTTGCCGGAGTTGGAGTTGGGATTTGGGCTTCTGCAATCTGCACTTGGGCCTTACAAAGTGTGAGTCTTATTTGTAGGTGGCTCTTGAGTCATTGTTGTGTCTTAATCTGTGTGGACAGTCTTGCAGCACCCTCCTTCTTCCTAAGGCTATCTGTTATGGACTGGATTGTGTACCTCTTCCAGCCTCCAATTCATTTGTTGAAGCCATAATGTGGCTCAGAATGTGACTATATCTTTACCAAGGGCCTTTAAGGAATTCATAAGTTAAATAAGATCACATGGATGGGCCTTCATTAGATAGGACCGGTGTCCTTAGCAGAAGAGGAGGAAACACTGGAGCTTGCTCTCCTCATGCTCACAGAGAGAAAGAGGGCCCTGCCAACACCTTGACCTGGGATTTCCAACCTCCAGACCTGAGAGAAAAAAAATTCTGTTGCTTAATCTACTTGGTCTGTGGTATTTGATTATGGCAACCTTAGAAAATGAATATATCGTCTGTGTGATTTCTTATATGATAAGGTCTTACAATGAAACATAAATGAATTGATGACTATTTCTATAAGGAAACTGATAAGAACCCTTGAGTTATCATGGGAAGAGTTAAATTCTCCATGCTTGAGCTAGTTTAGCCAGTTCTTTCTTATTGGCAAAAATTCTACAGTTGAAATTATTTAAGACATTAACTAAAACAATCTTAAGTCTCTCTATTTCCTGCTCTTTCTGTTCCCGTTACTTTTTTTTTTTTTTTTTTGAGATAGGATCTTACTCTGTAGCTCAGGCTGGCCTTGAACTTTCTATCCTCTTGCCTCAGCCTCCTGAGTGCTGGGATTACAGGTGTGTAACGACCACATTTGGCATCCCACTACTCTTAATCACTCTCATTCCTCCTCCTCTAGTCCAACCCTTGGCAAGTCAGGGCATTGGCCTGTTGACATTGAGCACTCTTCCAGGCCACCTCTGTGTTAGGCACTGGAGGTATAGGAATGAAGGAAGCAGATCATGGCCCTTGCTCTTACATGGCTTCTGTTGAAGTAGGGGAAAGCAGAAATCAAAATAAACAAGGAATGTATCTGAGAGTGAAAAGCTAGTGAGTAATTCAAACCACAGCAGTGTGATAGTGGCTGAGAGCCTGCTGAGATGGGGCAAAGAGAAACCTGTCCTGTCCACCCTTTCAGAAACATTTTTCACCTTGCCTCTGTTGCCACCCCCACCACATGAACCCATGTGCCTTGGCTGGGTTCCTGCCAAAGCTTTCTGACTGGTGGTCTATCTGCCACCTCGTTGGCCTTACTGTAATCTACTTTCCATATAGCAGTTAGTGGATTATTTTAAAAATGCAGCCAGTTCTCATTATTCACAATAGTCATGCTCTATAAAGTCAACTCAAACACTGAATTAGGGAATGTGGAAACATTGCTCCTGGGGGGAATGCAGGGCTGGCTTCCTTCAAGCCTCTGGCCACAACACTCCTCCACCCATCACTATATGACCTTGTTTTATGTGAGTTTCTGTGTAGACACCTTGTTTAATCCATATTTCTGACTCACTAACATTGAACTCTCAGCCAGTTGCACCACAGCAGCCTGCATGGAGCTTCTCTACCACGTGTACACTCTTCATGAGGCCCAGTTAGCCTTCCTGCACTCCTGACATAGACAGTGCTGCTGTTCCGAGGGAATGTGGGCCCGAGGAGTGAGCATTTGAGAAAGCAAAACCAATGAAAGAAAGACAAGAAGTGCAAAGAAAGAAGAAAAAAGGCACTGAAGACATTGTTTACATTCTGAGAGTGGAAACAAGGCAGAGTGTCTCCCTGTCCGACCTTAGCTGGGAGCCCACAGATCGGGTGACTCACTTTCACTTTGCTCCTGTCTGTGAATGACTTCAGACTTGCTGCCCAGAGTTGATTTAGGGTTACACACATGTATGCGCGCTTGTGTGTGCACGTGCACACACACACATATACACAAGCACACACGCAAATATGGTTTTCAAGAGTCTCATCCAAAATTCGGGGGTTGCTAATGTGATGGTTCTAAGAGGTAGGGCCTTTGAGGAGCAATGAGGCCATGAGGCTCCTCATCTCTGAGTGGGAGGACCCAGAGACATGGGCCATCTTGGAAGCAGAGAGCGGCCCTTGCTATGGTGTGCACCAAACCTGCTGGTGCCTTGGTCTTGGACTTCTCAGTTTCTAGAAGTGTGAGAAATAAATTCTATTTTTTTATAAATTACCCAGTTTCAGGCCTTTTGTTATAGCAACACAAAGACACGTGCTCACACTGCACATACACACTGCCTCCTTGTTTTTTCTTCCCCATTTTTCTTTCTCAATTTGATCATTACGGCAGGAACATTTCTCTTTATTCCATTGGTGAGCTACAAGTGCCATGTAGGAGTTGATGTTCAGAGGGATAACAGACTCAGTGCCTCAAACCTTCAATATTTGTTAAGTAAATGACTGAATGCTTTAGGAAAAGTCCTTGAGTTAGGAACTATTTCTTTACACTGAAATCCTCAGTTCTAGTCAATGTCTAGCTGTGGATAGCTAAGTTTGATAAGTGACTGAATGAAGAATAGAATGACATGTTTTAAACACTAAACTAAAGTAGAAGAACAGTGCTTAGTGACTCTGAAGTTTTTGAAAAGTATCTAGATATTCTCTTCAGAACTTCACAAAATTATTTGTCAATTTCTTCATCTATATTTAGACTTACTTTACTTTGTTTTTTTAAAAAAATTACTTCTTCAATATTGTTTTTTAGTCTTCTGACTTTAAAAAGATTACTCAATTTTATTGATTGCCAATAAGAATATTTCAGCTCTGCAGTGATTTAAAAAGATTTTTATAGATGGAGAACTTAATCTTTATCTATTTATGATTATGTTCATGAGAAAAATAGATTCCAAGGCCCAAAAATTACACCTTACCTATTGATTTCTGAAAATGTAATTCATTTCATAATGTGGGTACTTACTGAATTTTATTTTCTTTGGAAAAACATGGTATAAGCCCATATCTCCAAATAGATCATGAGTATCAAACTTCAGGATGCTTTCTTGTAGTGTTTAAGTGAATTTTTTTGTTCTAAATTACCGCCTTGTACAGCTGTTCTTTTATTCTTATTTAATATAGATCTAATTATTGTCATATGCAGTGAGTCTGACTTTCATCACATTTCATTCCTGAAAAGTTTGTGGCACAGTGAGTTGACTTACAGTAGATTATATTTTACCATAGGAACAACAATATAATTGAGTTTTATTCTTGATTTAATACCAAATACATTTTTAGATATGACAAGAATATGTTGCAAAAGCAAAAACACAACACTTTTAAACCTCTATAATCAATTATAAGGGTAAAATTAATGCCCACACTATTAAAAATGTGATTAAGTCAATCATAAATCAATCAGAAAAGGAACTGTCTGAATGTGTGTCTATAAAACACAAAGCTTCCTCTGATTTCCCACCTCTTCCCTGACAGTCCATTCTACACACTGGTATTGGATCAGTCTTCCTAACAGAGGTCACTCCAAGGTCATGTACCTTCACTTACAGATCAGGCTGGAATCCCACAGCATCTGACCCTATGCCTTTTTAGCCCTTCCTCACTGTTTAGCAAACACAGCTCCTGGTCCTTCACACTCAGCCCTGTCTTTCTTGCCTCTTTGCCTTCATTCTCAGTACCTGCTCAACCCTTGCTCATCTCTCCACCTGGCAACTCCTCTCACCTTGGAGGCTCTACTCAAGTTCCTCCCTTCCCAGGCCCCACAGGCCACCTCACCAGGCCAGAGGATTCGCCCTGGGGTCCAGAGCACAGAGCTAGCGATCATCTCGTGCCTTGTTTCTCTGTGAACTCATTTGGGGGAGCACCATCCATCCACTGTGTTCCACCAGATTTGCAGAGGACCTACTCTACCCTAGGCACCATGTCTGGCATTTTGACACACGTACTGTCATTGGGTCCCTGTAACAACCTGATGAGAGTGGATAGTAGCATTTTCATCTTAATAGCTGAGGATACAGAGGATAAGTAACTTGTTCAAGTAGCTTAGCTAAGAAGTGATGCAGCCAGAATATAAACTGGGAAGGCACATAGGAAGGATAGAAAGCTAGAAATCAGGAGGTCTTCAATTCCAATAACCTCCCTGAATCTCATCTTTTTCTCATTCAGGAAGAGGGCTCACCAGGACAACCTCATGAAAGTGTGTAAAGGAATCTAGGGCACATTTCTGAAAGGCTTTCCCAGCTGTGGAGATATCTTTTCTCATGTTCTTTGCTTACTCCAATGCCTAATATGCATTTGGTACTAGATTCACTTCCATTTCTTTTAACAGCAGCAGTATCTGTTAGTCTCCCTGCTGTGTGTCCCTGCTCTTAGCTGGTTACAAGGATATTTATGTTTCCAACTTCATAAAAGAAATTGTGCCATGGTCTGCTGAGAAGAGAACCATTTCCTGGTCCAGAGTAATCAGAGAGCCAACACTTACCCGCACACATTTGCAAATATTGCTTAATGTGCTCAAGAGAATTGCTCCCAGTATTTTGTAATCTCTGTTGGGTAGTGCTAACGAACCAGTCTGCCCCTCCCTGGCAAGATAACAATGGTCAATAATCATCTCTGTGTTTCGACCTTGGAGGGCTCACTTAAATGGCCTGAAAATCCTTGATAGGGGTGGTATCAGCCTTTCCTCCCCAGACTAAGCTACCTAGGGAAACAGTATTGGTCTTATGCCAAGCCAAGCCATTCGTTTTTGTTGAGTTCTGTTGTTTCTTTGCATGATAATGGTAACTGAGTTTTGGCTTCTAACTTATCTTCTTGAACCTTCTGAGTATTTGAGTATTCTGAGTATTTGCACACTATATTTGGCAAATATATATTGTGGAGGGGGTGCCATTATTTACTCAGGTCATCAGTTCCCTTCTGTCCTTGTCCTTTCCTTCCTGATTATGCAGCTTAGCTCCTTGCAGTCACATCTTCCTTATTTATTCTCATCACAATATGATTTTGACCCTCAGCTTTCCCATTTCATTTTTCAGAAATTCCTCTGAGCAGTCTCCTCTTGCCCTAATATAATTAGAGTTTCTATCTGTGAACCTCTAGAGTCAGAACTTGCCCCATCCATAATTTCTCTCCTGCTTCTAAATTTCTTTCATCTACAAAATCAGTTACTCTCTATATTTCTTAATTGTAGCTTTAGCAGCCTGGATTTTTTTTTTTTGCAAGAAACTTCCCTGTTCTTTAGAACTCCTTGTCTACCACCACTGGCTGTATAAAACCAAAGTTATTTTAAGATACAGTGGTCCACAAAAATAGGCACCAGTAGTGCTTTTGTGCATGGAGTCAATAACTTCTAGATACAGATTTTATTTCTCTACCACATGTTCCTGCTCCATATGAGTACCCAGTGATCAAAACAGAACTCACAGCCAAACAAATCCACTCTATAACATGCAGCCCTTTCCTCACCTTATCCTATGTATAAGTCTTTTTCTTGGCCTAGTTGAACTCTTCATAAATATTAATTGGTTCCATTGATTTATTTTTCCATTTTATGTCCATTAACAAACACCTCTCTGGATGGACATCAGATGGTTTGTCCACTTTTAACCAGGGTTATTTATCTCCTTTCTGAAGAGCATTTGCTTTGGAGAAGTCAGAGGAAACTCATTTCTCTTCCTGCTTTTCTTGCTGGTCTCCAAGGAGGCACAGATGGTAAGAGAAAGTCTAGACCACAAATCTTTCCTTCCTTCCTCCCTGCCCACATCATAGTGCCTTCCCATCTGCCTGGAATGCTCCCTGAATTTGCCCACACCACCTGATAATGAGCATCCATGCTGGCCAGTGGCCAGTCAGTGACCACCATTTCCTATGGCCTAGGAGGCTATTTTTTGTCTGTGCATCCACTCTCCCAAGAATCCCATTAAGGGGAGATGATGTGACAGGGCCTAGGCTGTCCCACTTACGGGATTGCCCATGAATTCCTACCAGACCGGGTGCACGGCGGGACAGATTCACTTGCTATTCCTGTCTTCCTTAGTCAGCCCAACACTCTTAGGACAGGAGACATTCTGCCCAGTCTCTCCTCTAGGCAGTGGCCCCAACAGATGTTCCCAGAAGTCTTCCTTCCTTTGTGAACTTTGTTAACAGAAAAGTCTCCACTTCAGAGGGATTCTGAACCATGGGGGTGGGGGGAAAGGGCATGTCACTCTGCTTCCTAGGGACAATCTCTTGGGGAACTGTTTGCTCAGTGGCCAGAAGAACCTTGCCTTGTGTGATCCTGAGAGGCAATCAAGTTGTCAGTGCCCAGAGGAAGCGAAAGCAGATGTATGAATGGGAGACAGATGTATGCAAGGTTGTAGAGTGAGGCTTAGTGATTCAGGGGAAGATTGAAATTCAGGCTTCTCGCCAATAGAAGTCCATTGGTTATTTCTAGAAGAATTATAGATAATATATAGAAATAATATAGTTGATCCATATATACTCATTTATGTGTCAAGCATTATTTTCATGGCTTACATATAATAATCATGTAATCCTCAGACCAAACTTAACAGTCTCTAGTCAACAGGTGAGAGAAAGGGACATCTATAAGTTCAGTCACCTGAGCAAGGTCACAGTCTTCCCATTTATGTGTGCGTGTCTGTGCATGTGTGAGTGTGCCAGTATATATGAGAAAGACAGAGACAGGGAGACAAAGGGCCACAGGGATG